TTTTGTGATAGGGTGGCAAGGCGATGGGAGTTGAAGGCCACTGGGATGTGGCACCAAATGCAGCTGTGCAAGTTTGTCCTGTTTCTTGCAGGAAACATGCTCCACCTGTGCTTTGTGCCCTGCCCAGCCTGCTGCCTCATCTCCAGGTTCAGAGGAAGGTATTTTTTTGGCTAAGATACTACTGTCTTGAGACCTAGTTATTTTAGAAAGTTTCTTTTCAGTTCCACGTTAATACAATTCCAGTGAGTTAAAGTACAGAAAATGGTGACCCCTTCCTGTGTGATGCCTTCTTGGTCAAGTTTTGCAGATCTTCCCTGGGGTGACAGTGCTGACTGTCCACACTTAGATGGACAAGTAGAGTTGAAGAAATTTATTTACTTTGTGAGTAATATTTTTTTTTCTGAGTACCAATTTGGTTAAATAGTTTGGTTTGGCCTTTTTTTTTTTATTATTTTTTAATGAGTTTAATGGTGCTGAAAAAAAAGTAAAAAGTAATTAGACCGTATCTTAAATAGAGCATATCTTTATTTATAGTGATGTAATTGAAATAATTCAACCTGTTAGTGTTAAGATAGCGTAATCTCCTTAATGTGCATGCAGCTGCAGAAGTAGAAAAGCATTTTAAACTAGCAGAGGGGTTTTCACTGCGGCTGTCTTCACGAAGAGCCGTCTTGCTTTTTCCTCTGCTCTGTAGCCCGACTGCACACCCCGGCTCGATCAGGCGCCTCCACTCCCACCCGCGCAGGAAAGCGCGACCGGCGGTGACGCGCGGGAGGCGGCGGGGGCGGGGCGCGGGGCGCGGGGCGCGGGGGGCGCGGGGCCCGGGGGGCGCGGGGCCCGGGGGGCGCGGGGCGCGGGGGGCGCGGGGCGCCGCGGAAGGGGGTGCTGCAGAGCAGCCGTCGGTGGCGGGCGGGAGGCCGGCTGCAGCAAGCGCCCGGCGGCCCAGCGCGGAGCTCCGCCAGCGAGTTTTAAGGCGGTTTAAGGCTACAGAAGAAGTGACAGGGCAATCATCTCCCCGGCACGGCTGCGCTCCGCTGCGGATGGGAGGGTGGAATCTTGCTTAACAGCTCGTGTATCTGTATATTTAATTGCGACCTGGCTGCATGTTCCTGTTGAGGAAGGATGCAGGTGACAAGCGATTAAAAACGCAGTTGACAAACCCGGGAAAGGGATAACTGACAGATGAAACGACAGTCGGCGCGGAGCTAACTGGCAAATGCATCAGTACAAAGTCATATACCTTCTGAGAGGAGTAGTAGTTTGTTTTATTCCGGTTCTCCAGAGTTTTATCTACTGTCGGTGTGATGGGAGAGAGGAGCTAATGTGCCCTGTTTAGGATACAAATATGCAGATTAGATCAGACTTCAGACACCGTGTTTCGCTCAAGACTTAAAACAGTTAGAGGAATAAACCAGGCTTCCCCCACTGAGGAAAATAAAAACAGAAAGACATGGAGTATTTTTTTAAAAAATGTTTTAAAGGTGTTTTAAACTTGTTAAAACTCAACCCTTTCGCATACGGGTGCAGTGAGCTGCAGGGATGGGAGCTGGGACCCGGCGCTGGCTGCCGCCGCCGGCCGAGGCTGGGTCGTTGCGGAGAATATCAGCCCGGCTCCCGTTTTCTTCACTTTTGTGTTACTTTAAGTTTTCAATGAGGCTAGTGTAATTACGAGGCGTTTAACTTTTTGCCAGACTCTTTCATTATGGTTTTGCATTTGCACCTCGCTTTTAAAAGAAGTAATAACATTCACAGTCAGGGGCAAATCCTGTTAATGAACAAATTAAAGTTCAAACAGTTATTCAAGTTCACAGCCCCGCTCGCTGCTCCTTTAATAAGAGTTATACATGTTACTTTCTCTCGGGATCACTCCCCCTTTTATTACTTTTTAAGCTTTTCATAAGCACTGGCGGGCTATATGGGCAGCTCCAAGCCTCTAAAGAGCCCACAAATCCTGAAGGGAACCCTAATCCGGCCTTAATTTGGCAACTTTTGTAAAAGACATAAAAGCTCGGGTGCCACCCTTGTGCGCTCAGATGATTGTATCGCAGGGAACAAGCCCGGGGAAGGCCGCCCCCCCCCCCCCCCCCCGCCTTTTTCCTGCACCCACCTATTTGTGCTGGCTGCCTCCTTTCCGGAGCTATGCAACAGAAACCTCCGTTACTCCCTCCTGGGTACCGGAGCAGAAATTAGGATGTCTGATCGGTGGCCTGGGAAGTTCCACCCGCTGCCCCGAAAGCTGTGCCGGGGCGGCCGGTTCCCCCCAGCCCGCCCCGCCGCGCTGCCCGTGGGCTGGAGCCCGGTGCTTGCTCCCGGCAGCTGCCTGCAAGTGTTAGCAAAGTGTAGTTAAAAAACAAGAACAAAATGTCCCTGCTCTCATTCCTCTCTCCCCCCCTCCTCCCTCGCTTTCTTATTTTCCTCCAAACCTTTCGCGATTAGAGTGTCTGCGCTTACCTCGGCGTTTGCATAATATGAATCTTAATTCCCCTTGTCAGGGGCTGCCCGAGCCCAGGGGAGCCGCGGCTCCCGGTGGGGACGGGCGGGGAGCGGGGCATCCCCCCCCCCCGCTACCGGGCTCCTCTGGCCGGGGGGCGGCGGGCAGAGTCCAACAAAGCCCGGGGAGTTTGACACTGGTTCAAGGAAGCACCGGTGCAAAAGCGCTGTCTATGTACAAATAGAGGAGATCACACTCCCCATTATCTACCTCCTGGCGAGTGTTTGATTTGTGACATCAAAAGCTTATCAAGGCAAGCTCACCAAAAAAAAAAAAAAAAAAGAAGGGGGGGGAGGGGGAAGCACCTCTTTAGGGAGGGAGATCGCTCCAGTTTGGGTGATGCAGTGGGAAAGAGGAGGGGGCCGGTGGTGTTAAAACGCCACCGGTGCCGGGGAGGCGTTTTGTGCCCCGGCCGTGTCCCCGCGGGGCAGGTGCGGGGTGCTGCCGTGGGCGTGCAGAGCGATGGGGGGGCCAGGCTGGCCCCGGCCGAGGGCCGGAGGGAGGCCCTGATTCCTCGCAGCCATCCGCACAGAAGTGGTTTGATATAATCACCATGACAACTGCCGCCTATGAGCATACAAATAATAGAGATGAAATAGACAAAAGATTAGCATGCCATGAAAAGTACAATAAGTTTCTTATTTAGCATTTAGATAACTGTCTTTCCTTCGGAGCAGGCTTCAAAGTTGAACCCAGTTTAGACCAAGAGGATTAATTCTTTCTCCCGCATGCTTCATTGAATCTCTCATTACCAAACTTTGTCTGTATTGATGTAAGATTTGATTGAAGATTAGAGCATTTAGCAAATCTTGCTTTTCTGCATGTATCAGGCCTTTTCAAGCGCAGACCGCGCTGCCCAGTGGTCAATACCCTTACTTTTATCCAGTGTCTGCTTCATTTAAACTTAATCAACTCCCTCAATGAACTGGAACAGGGAAACGTCCCTGCGGTAAGAATGTTGTGCTTTTCTTAGATAATTCTTTGCTCCCTCTCCCAGTCTGCTGGCGTTAAACCTAAAATTGCTCTCTGATGAACTTAATCAATATGATAATGACAATTGGGGCTGAATGGCTCGGCCTGGGCTCCACGTGGAAAAGGTAGATGGCTGTGCCCATTGCCCAAACCCAACTTCTCCTTGTCTCGCCTGTCCTTTTGTGTGTGCTGCTCCCACCTTTCTTTCTCTCTCCCTCTCTCTCTCTCTTTTCCTCCCTCCCCCTCCGTCCCCCCGTGACACCGACCGCCGCTCACGCTGGAGAATGATGCTTCTTTGTGCGGCGGGAGGACTCGTATGTCACCGCCCGGAGAAGTGGAGCGGAGCGATTGGCTGGGTGAATTATCTGCCTTGTTGCAGTGAATTATTTGCGCTGTTTCCTTTCCCAGTCAACAAGTTTCTGAGGTATAGTGCAGATCAATCAAAGCTGACAGAGCGCATGTGAAGCTTTTACTGTGTAAATCTGGACCTCTTGTCCCGGCTTCGTTGGCACTGGCATCTGTATATCATTTTTATACTGCTACCAGTAGAGCAATTTCAAAAGTATTTGCAAGGAAAATGGATGTCCCCATCTGTTCCTGGAATCATAAATGTGCCACTTTCGGAGGGTTTTCACTGGTAATCATATCTTTAATGATGAACAAACTTGTGATATATACCTTTCCATAAAATGGGGTTTTCTTCACTTTATTGTGATTGGCTGGGATAAATAGCTTTTCCATATGTTAGGGAGATAAAACATAAGATTACCAGAGCTCGTTTGTTTGATCATAAACAAAAGAAACAATTCGCTCCAAACACTCTTTAAACAGAAACAACTGCAGAATTAAATTGTATTAATAGGCTATCGATGGGTCAGGAGGCAAACAACTATCCCCGTGGAAAAGACAGCTGTCTCAAAATACGAATAGACGGTTCTTCTCGTTGTTTGGGTGACCTTAATGCAGATGTGGATTTTAAATACTCGATGCTCATTTAATTTATTCCTTCTCCCCCTCCCCCCCTTAGAATTATCTTGCTTTTGTCTCTTTTTTTTTTTTTTTTTCCTCCAGCTTGACTTTAAATTTCTGCAAGTGCAAGAGCGAGGACGCAGTGCCAGGTAGTGGATTGCCGTGCGCTATGTTTAGAAAGCAGCTGGAAGAGAAAATGTCCTCGGGAATCCGGCCGGTTGTAAATGTCCCTCCAGTTCCAGCACTGTAAAACGTCAATGCTCCTTCCTCAGCCGAGCCAGCGCTGCGCCCTGCCTGGGAGCGCTGGGCGAGGACGGCTTGGGGGAGCCCCTGGCTTTAATCCTGGGGCGTTAGAGGTAGAGCTGTCATACGAAAGCCTGAGATGCCGCTGCCAGAGCTGCCCAGCACCGCGGCGGGGAGCGGCACCTCGGATTTACCCCCGCCGGTGGCACCCCTCTCCGCCCGGGGGTACCGGCGAGTGGCGTGCAACCGTTTCTCCGTGCAGAGCTCCTCAGCCGCAAGGTTGTCTGCCCGGAGCCCCGGGAAGGGACACGCGGGGCAACCCCCC